AAATGAATGGACACTTCACAGAAGCAGTAAAATTACCAATAAATATGTGAAGAAATGCTCAATATCACTGTCCATTACAGCATTGCAAATTAAAATAACACTGAGATTCCATCTTAACTGAGAAATAATGGCTGTCATCAAGAAATCAAATAATAGCTAATGTTTGCAAGGAGGCAGAGAAAAGGAACCCATCTACATTGTTGGTGGGAATGTAAGCTGGTAAAACCACTATGGAAATCAGTATGGAGATTCCTTAAAAAACTAAAAATAGAAATTCTGTTTGATTGAGCTAGTCCCTTCCCAGGTATTTTCCTAAATGAGCTAAAGACATTATATAATAATGATACATATTATTCAATATTCATCCATATTGAACTTTATAGTAGCACAGTTCATAATGGCCAAATCTTGGAAGCAGCCTATATGTCATGTCCCTCAACAGATAAATGAATAAAGAAAATGTGCCATTTTTGTACAATAGAGTATTACTGTGCCTTAAATAAGGATAAATTTGAGTCATGTGTAGGACAATTGATACATTTTACATTAAGTGAAATAAGCCCAAAATACTGTACAAGCTTAGATTTTGCATGGTTTCTTTTATATGAGAAACAAAATATAAATAAGGAACAAAATAGAAAATAGATAATAGGAAATAGATAGATCTTTCTCAAATGGGAAGGGGATCAATAGATGGAGGGAGCCGGGCATGATGGTGCATGCCTGTAATCCCAGCACTCAGGATGCTGAGGAAGGAGGATCATTGTGAGTTCGAGGCCAGTCTGGGCTATAAAGTGAGCTCAAGGTCAGCCTGAACTGCATAGTGAGACCCTGTCTCAAAGAAGACAAACAAACAAACAATGGACAGAAGGAGGTGGAGGGGAAAGGGATGAAAAAGAACTAAGAAGTGTTATGTACATGTACTAATTCCCCACAAGAGGTGTGATCATTATGTACTGCAAACATGTCCTTAATGAAAAAAAAAAGCTGAAAAAATTTGTTGAGATAGTTGTAGAAGTGTTAATTTAGGCTTGGGATTATATAATAATTGCAAAGTTGCTTCCTAATTTTGATAATTACTATCTAGTTACATAAAAGAGTATCTTAGTTCTTTGAAGAAAATATGTATTGGAACATTTCTAACCTACCTTTAAGTAGTTCACTAAAAGATGTGTTAAAAATGTATGTATGAATAATTGTTAAATGTAGAAGAATGTTACTTGGACGTTTTCATACTTTGCTTACAACTCATATTTAAAATTTTATCAAAATAAGTTTTCCTCAACCCCCTAAAGGAAAATAGCTTTAGCTATGGATTTAGGTTGGTTTAGATCCAGGCAATACTTGTTGCTAGAAGCTTCCTTCGATGCAGAAATACTCAGGCTGGCTGTGCTTTGGAGAGCACTGGGTGACCTTCTGAGAACAGGAATAAAGTGCTGATGATGTCCACCTGCAGTAGAGGGTGGCCAGTCTGTGCTAGCTCTTCCATCTGTGACATCTCATGGCAGTTAAATGCTACTGGTGACTTCAGGCACAGCTCTACTAAGATTGACCTTCTTTGAACTCATGTCACAGATTGGTTAGACAGTTTGGGATGAAAAATCTCAGTAGGAAATATGATTCTTGGTATGTGAATTTTTACAAAGGAAATGTAGCAGTATTTGTGTTATGGACAAATGAAGTAATGTTAGTCATACTTCCTTTGCTTTAGATGGTTCTTGACAACAATTATCTCAAACTCTGCTTGTGCTAAAAGAAAATAATACAAATGTAATTGTGTCAGTTCTTGCAAATGGGAAAAACAGAACTGTAAAATAAAGTTATGCGGTAGTCTTTTTTAAATATGTGTTCCTACAAAGCTATTAGTAAATTAATTTTTATATTTGAAACCATATTTTCATTGTACTATGAGAATGTTTAAAGGGAATAGTAGGTATAGGATAACATTTTGAAATAATAAGAAATACACACTTTTGCTTTAATCTGGATTTTTCATCTGAAAAGAAAACCATGCTTTCCTTGTAATATTCTTGCAATATTAGATTCTTAAATAGAAGCTAGTGATAAGTCATGTAAGCTTGGGGGCAGAAATTTTGTTTTAAAATATTGGTCAACATGAGAGAAGATAAATGTTAATATAGCTATTAAAATAATATGCCATTTAAAAAAACAAAAGGAGGGTAGAGGGAGATAGCCTTTGTTTTCTATTTTAATAGATTTTAAAATATTTTATTTTCTCTTAATAAAACATAGCTGTAAGTCTTTAGTCTGAAAGTTAACTTCCAGTCTGCTGTAACTGGTAAATACTTTTCTTAGTTTCATGTTCTTTTTGCTTTTGTTTTCTGTAGCTTTGTGGGAGTTCCAAAAATTTTTATGTAAATTTATCTTCTACTTGGACATTTATATCTTCTCTATTGCAGAGAATATGTAGTTGTTTGTCCATATTTAAGTTTATTATTTCTGTACTTTTTTACTGATAAGTCACAAACATAAAAAGTTTATTTTAGCATAGGATATGAGACTAGATTCTATCTATATTTGAAAATGACTTATTCCCAATAACATTATTGTGATTATTTGTTGTCCTAGAAAAGTCTTGAGTGCTATAACAAAATAACCATAGACTGGCTGTGGTTTAAGCAGCAGAAAATTATTTTTTCCTTGGTTTAGAGGGTGGCAGTCAGAATTTACCATGTCAAGATGAGTGCCTTTCAGTGAGAGCTTTCTTCCTCGCATACAGATGGCTGCCTTCTACCTTTACCTCAGTTGGCTTATTATTAGCATGTGTCTACAATTGGCATTTTCCCAATACCACAAAGATCAAAAAGAATAAAACTCAAGTTTAGAGTGGTGTGACAGTGAAATGCATCAGTAGATACTATACTTAAATCCTGTATTCTGATCTTTTCCTGAGCTAGTGTATGTAGTATGATACATGTAATGCTGGGCAATGGTAGTGAGTTGTAGCTCCCAGTTAGTTAGTGGCACCATCAGGAGGGTAAAAAACTGATACAGTATAGTATGCTGTGTTGCTAGGTGAGGATGTCCTTTAGGAGTATTAAATGTTTTTTTTGACCTATGCTATTTTCAACTTATGATGGGTGTATCGGAGTTTAACCCCATATAAGTTAAGGAGTATTTGTATATTAAAAGTAATATAGCAGAAGAAAGTTTATTTCAGTAATGATTCAAAAGTAAAAGATCATGCTAATATGATTGTTAATAATATTAGAAAATAGAATCTTAACTATTTGTGAACAGTAACATACTGAGTTGAAGCAAGCTTAGTTCAGTATTTTAAAGTATGTTGTTATCACTTATATCTAGATGTCTTCTCAAAGCCTCATGTGCTCATGGTGAGATCATGGGTGTGTGATACTGAATTTCCCGGGGTAGAAGCCAAAGCCAGTGAAGTTGAAACTTCACCCTGTTACACAGAGTAAATGACAGGATACAGATTTTCTATCTGAATTTTTGTATTTGAGTTTGAGGGCAAAGAAAGCTATTTTCAAATGTGAGAATTCAAAGTTGTCATCTTATCTTTGAAAGACTTTTAATAGTATTCTTCAAAGCATGAGAAAGAAATCCAAAAAGTAAGACAGGATCAGATTAAACAAAATGTATGTAAAAAGTATGTACCAACCAATGATAAATGCAAACCAATGGTAAATGCAAATAACTGAATATTTCATCATTTGTAGTGTTTACCGGCATTAATAATTCCTACAAAAGAGACATCATCGTAATGAAGACTCCAGACTATTTTAAATAAATAGTTGATAGAAGTATAAAGGTTATTGACCACTGTAAGATAATTAAAAGTAGTTTATCCAATTAAAAAAGGAAATTTTCAAAAGAACTGCAATTAGAAGTTTTAAAATTAGCTGGTTTGAATAGGACCAAATATGTAGATAATCCTAGGAAATAATCAGAGTTAGAAAGTTTTATAGTATGGCTTTTAGGTGGTGTTAATAAATTAGTACTACTTAACTATTAAAAATGGAAAGGAGAGGCAGAAATGGCAATACTGCTAGAAGCAAACAGAATTAAAGTCGATGAACTTCAGATGGATGAACAGAGAGATTTTGTATTGCAATTAGTATTACCCAGCCAAGTGACAAGAATCTTTCCAAGGGACAATATTCATAAAACATTAAGTGTTGGTAGTAAGAAGAGAAGCTGATGGCTCACATTGATTTGAAAAATTCAATACACCTCTTTCAGGAATTCAGAGATCATGTAGGAAACATGTAACAAAACTGTAACTGAGAAAATTTGAATATCAAAATCAATGAATTTTTAAAAAAACAGCATTTTTTTTTTATCTTGGACATAGAAACTGTCTTCCAGATCAGTGAAATTTTCAGAATTGTTTGTATGAAGTTATACATGATCCTTATTTGTAATTTTTATTTTCCTCTGTGTTTGTGTTTATTTTCTCTTTGGCTCACAGTTTTTCCAAGTTTCAGTCCATAGCTGCCTGGCTCCACAGCAGGGCGGCATGGCAAAAAAGAAAACCGCTCATGGCTTGGCAGTGGGAACAGAGAGAGGGAGATAATACCTTCCAGGCCACACCTTCAGTGGCCCACATCCTTAGATCAGGCCTCACCTCCCAACATCACATTTATCAGGCTCACATGACCCAGTCACCAAGTATGAGGCTGTTTGGGGACATCTGTATATCAACCATAACAGAGATTAGATGAAACAGATTTTTGAGTTGCTAAGTGGTAAAAATGTAGATCATGGCCACTGACCTTTTTCTACTCAGCTCTTCCCTGGTTGAATCTTTTGATACTTTGTACCAGGAAAGGATAGGACCCTTTCTGTGAGAGCCTTGACCAGGCCAATCAATAAAAAAATTAAATAAATAGAAATTTGGTTGTATTTTTTCTAATTAACAGTATTTTCTCCCTTTTTTATGTCCTTTAGTCTTATTGCTCTGATCCCAACCTTGTGTTAGATTTGAAGAATCTCATTGTGCTTTTTGCTGATACACTACAGGTAGGTAAATATGCTCATGTAGATTAGTAGTTCATCAGCTCTAGATCTTTTTATTGTCCCCATAAGTTTGGATGAGTACTGCATAGGGTCTAATTTCCCCCTCCCCCTAGTGCGGCGTCTTGTTATCTCTTCATGGTATTTCCTGCCCTTCACCCTCACCCGTTATGTTCTCATAAATGCTTTTTTCCTCTTATAGCAAAGGTATTAATTGGACTACCTACTACATTAGTTTTAAATATGCTCTTAAATAAAATGTGGCGCCTTAAGCGCTTTTGTAGTTTAACTACTCCTTAGATAATTATGGTTGATTTGAGCTGTGTATTATATCCATTAGGGTCACATTAGATGTGGATGACATTGATAGCATTATCACTGTTTACCTGCTCCGAAGATTGTAGGCAGTGAGAGTTACAGGTAGAGGTGGAGGGAGAGCTTAGCTGACAGTGTACTGAGAATATATTTATTTTAATTTTTAGCACTTCTCTTTTTCCTGACTGCCCTAATCATTTTAATACATACCTTTTAATTTTTGAGAGTAAATCACTGGATATTAGGGGGAAATGAAAGATTGTGCCATCATAGTTTTGTTTAAATTGTTGTCCAGAGAACAAAATGGCTTTCAGTGCCTAATCTCCCTTACTTTGCTTTAAAAAGTCATTTTAGAAAGTGAAGCTGTTTTCTGATTTGTTTCAGGTTTATGGTTTTCCTGTAAATCAGCTTTTTGACATGCTGTTAGAAATCAGAGACCAGTATAGTGAAACTCTGCTGAAAAAGTGGGCAGGCATTTTCAGGTGAGGAATTGCAGTCATATGTGTGTATGTGCATATGTATATGCAGATGTCTGTATGTCCAGTTTTTTAAGATATAATGAACAAAAACATGTGGTTTGTATTTTTCTAGGTATTCCAGGTTATGATTCAGAGTTCATATGAATTGTAATGACATCCCAAATGATGTTCCTAAAATATCTGATCTCAGGGCATTAATGTCTACTGTGTTAAGACATACCTAGGTCCTATTTTGAGGTTTTTGTTTTCTTAGGTAAATGTCAGATTCATTGTTTCATTTCATGGAGATCATCTTATGCCTTCTTTTTCTGTGGTTTTTTTTTTTTTTTTTTTCAGTTTTCTGTTAGGATTAATATCTATTTTAGAGTTCATTTATAGGATAGTGGTATTTGAGCCATTATGAATAATTTAACCTTTTTGGAGTGTGTGTGTGTGTGTGTGTGTGTGTGTGTGTGTGTGTGTGTGTATTACTAGAGACTGAACCCAGGGTCATTGCACTGAGTTGCATCTCCAGCACTTTTTTTATGGTTTTATTTTGAAACAGGGTCTTGCTAAGTCTCTTAAGTTTCCAGGCTGGGCCTGAACTTGTGATCTCTCCTCCCTTAGTGCCCCAGAGTGCGGAAATTACAAGCACGTGCCACTGTGCATGGTTAGGATTTTTTGAGTACTCAGTTGTGCTATCCTTCATCTTTTGTATTTATACCCAAATAACAGATATAATTCAGTGCAATATTTTAAGCCCATTATTTAAGTACTTATTGTAACATGTATGTAATAAAGTCATTCGTCTATCTCTCTCAGTCACAAATGCCTGTTCGAACTTTGCTTGGCACATACCCCATGTCAGTTCTTTCTCTTTTTAAACCTTTATTTCTTTCATGGTTTTGCCTATTGTACGATGCCTTCCCTCTATTAACTTATTTCAAATTTTAGTAGTTTTAAGGTCTTACATGACTCATTTAATCTTTATTTTCACAGCTTATTAATGTGTTCTTGATCATCATTCAGTCCAACTGATATTAATATGAATATTTATAGTTCTAAAATTCAGATTTAGCTGATGGTGTTAACTATTTTTGGGGAGGGTTATCTCTATAAGAAGTCTGGAAAAGCACTAACATGGTGTATCTACAGTTTTAGGTGATTTTGGGAGATGCCTTCAGTAGGTTTCTATTTTGATTTTGGCAGGAGGAATTTTACTTTTGCAGACCCCACAGTATAGTTACATAGGGAGAACCTATAGATTTAAAAAAAAAATCTGTTGAATACAGAACAGTAAATGAAGTAAATGAACATAGTTTGGGTTTTACTACACCTGTTTTCAAAATTTTCAAAAGTTGGCATAGAGTAACTAGCATAAGATTATAAAAGGTCACAATCAAATATATCTTATTAAAACAAATAGACACACCCTCTTTTTCTTTTCTAGAGCTCATATTCTTTTTCATTTACTTCTTCCTTGTTGTAACATTTTCTGTCTCGTTTGTACATCTCACATACTGAGAGATCACATGTAAAATTGTTTCATTTGTTTCAGGTCATACTTTCTGCCTTTTTTAAAAGATGGCCTTACCCAAAATCAAAGAGTTATATTAAAGAAGGAATATAGTAGCAAGGACTGAAAAATGTTCATTTGAAGTTGTGAAATGTGTAAAACCATTATAGTTCATTAGAAAATCAGTTTATCATTAACTACTATCTCTCCCTCCCTTCCATTATTATTTTTTAATAGAAACATCCTTGATTCTGACAACTATAGTCCGATCCCAGTAACAAGTGAAGACATGTATAAAAAGGTGGTAGGACAATTCCCATTCCAAGATACAGAGCTGGAAAAGGTAAGGAATACTTTAAAGCAAACTTGTATGGTTTTTGCGTATCTTGAACTTTCACTAGATCACTTTCATTGAAACTTGTAATCTTCATCTCACTGGATTAGAACTTGAAAGCACTTTTAAAGCACTCTTTTTAGGGCTTAGAAGACCAGAATTTTCTGATAGGAGAATTAGTGCATGGCATTAGGATCCTGTCACCTTTGTAAGATTTGAGGATTGCTGAGGTATTTCACCTTGGATTGCATTATACTCTTAAAATAGTGTCTTCCAAAAATATACAGTAAGATTTACCCTTTGAAGTGTATAATTCTGTTAGTTTTACCAATACGGTGAGTCATGTATCTGCTACAATAATAATGCAGAACAGTTCCATCATACCCCCTCAATTTCCTTATGGTTCCCCTTTCTTATCAACTACTCCCAATTCCAAGCCTCTGAGAGCCCTTTGTTTGATCTATATCCATTTACGTTTCCCTTCTGCAGAGTGCCATATAAAAGGGATCATACAGTATTGAGATTGACTTCTTTGACTAGCTTTTGAGATTCATGAAAGTTGCTTAGGGTCAATAATTCATTCCTTTTTCCTTTTGCTGAGTATGAACTACAATTTTTTAAACCTTTGCATGTTGATGAACATTTGGATTATTGTTTTACTTAAATTTATGTTTTACTTTTCATTGTTAGAAAATGAAAATATTTTGGAGACATTTTCTTAAATTTGAGATAGCTAAGCAGGCAGTTCATAATTGTTCAGATACCAAATTGCCTTTCCATTTTAAATAATTTATAAGTATAATGAATGTGTGTTTGTGACTTGCTTTCCTTAATTCTTGCATTTACAGCAATCGTTCCCAAAAAAGTTTCCATTCTCTGAATTTGTACCAAAAGTTTACAATGAAATTAAAGAATTTATCTACGCCTGTCTGAAGTTTTCAGAAGATCTTCATCTAAGGTATAACATGAAACGGTTAAAAACAGTAGAAATGAAACAAATACTAAGATTGTGACTCACTCTTTAAGTAAACTTTGTGAAAAACTTTTTTATTCCCTTCACCTCTAACTTTGAAAGTCTTAATTCTTCACTGAATGACGCTGCTTATTTTTATAGTCCTGATGAAAGGGAAATGTGGTCTCTCTTGAGCAATTTTTAAACTTTATTTTACCTATCTTTTTCTCTACCATTTTCTTTATAGATTTACATTTTAATACTTTCTATTCATAAAAATTCACTGGAAAATTGTAGTATAGCATTAATTTTAACATTTGACTGATGAAATTTTAAGGCCTAGAGAATGGCAGATAAAATCCTTTGGAAACACTAATATTGCCCTGTTTCTGTCAATGTTTCTGTATATTCTAGACTGCAGCCTTATTTCTTTGTTTATACATATATGGGTTTGTTTGCCATTCATTATGGCTAACCTGTTACTGGTTAGATGCTGCTTGGTAGTGAAGATATTAAGATTCTACAAATGTCTCTGTCTTCAAGAAGTATCTAATTGAACTGAAGAACTAGGCAATCAGTGATACATGCTAGACATATATGGAAGCAACAAAAGATCCACCCCAAACACAAACTGATGATATTTGAAAAAGACATCTCCTATATCTAACTAAATAAATTAACAGATGAATGACTGAATGGAAAGTGTGATATGCCTGGCTAGTCTGAAGTAACAAAACTTGGGACTAATTTATATCATTGTTTCATAACTATTCTTATTATGAAAAAGTGGTGTTTGTACTATCAATTTGTTCTTTTTCTCTGAAAATGAGATTAATTTAATAGAAAATCTCCCTTCCTCTTAACTGCTGGCTTTGAACCTAAGGCTTTGCATATGCTGGGCAAGTGCTTTACCACTGAGCCACATGCTCAGCAAAAATTTTTCTTGAAAATGATACTATCTTTGAAAGTTACACACCAAAATAACCTCCCTCCCTGATTTCCTTCTAAACCCATATCCCCTCTTCCCCATTGACTGACTAAGTAACCTCATGTTAGAGAATGTTCTTTATGGTTATGTTATGGTTTTTATGTTATTAGGTATGTTACGTTACTATAGGTAAATTATTATGAATTCATTGTAAAATGGCTTTTTTGAACTTCTTACTTGGATGAAAGGTAATATAATAAAGTGATAATATGAGTGAATTATTCAGATACCATTTTCTTTTTTTTTAAGTGGGGGAATCTTTATTTGCTCACAATTGGTAGAGGTTTTAGTTTATAGTTGGCTGGCTGCAAGGCAGGGTGGCATGACAGACGGACATCATAGAGGAGAAATAGTCCACATCAAGCAGGCAGGTGAGAGCAAGCAAGCAAGGGACAACCACAGCTCTAACCCTTATATTTTATACAGGCTACTTAGGGCAGATAGTACTCACACCCTTAATCCTAATGCTTTTGAGCTTAGCATTGCACCATGAAACTATCCCAGTGTCACACACTCTAGATTCTGACTCCTCTGAAAAAGCCCTACCTATAGCCTCATGAGCTTTTAGGAGGGCATCTAGACATAAGCCATAACACTCTGCCCCTGGACCCACAAAGACTCATGCACATCCCTTTATGCAAAAATATTTAGTCCATTTCTAAGAGTTGCTAAAGTACTTCCACTTTCAGTATTGCTGACAAGACCATTTTCTTGCCTGAATGTTTTATTATGCTTTTATCTGAAAACTCCCATTGACATGTTTCACACTGACAATTTAAATTAAATATTCAATTCCAAGAGATTTTATAGCTGCTTTTTATTTTATGGTTGACATCAAGTGACAGAGATCACTTTGCCTATCATAGCTGTCTAAGGATAAAGGCTAACATTATTAACATATGAGACGGTGTTATAAAAATAAAACATAAAACTCTCAAAGCAAGAGAATCACTGGATCAAGATTCTCATAAAGCTTTTAGGATAATTATTTCCTTAAATGAAATATTCATTTATTCATGCAAGAATTTTCTCTTTTTCATTTGATGGAAGATGTTGAAAATCATGCAAATAGAGAATGGCAAAAATATGTAATTGCAGGAATTCTGGAGATACAAAACTTTCTGTTTGAAAAAAGTTTTAGCAGCATATGACATTCCTATGCTAACATACTGTTCTAGCATTTTCACTTTAATAAAATAGAGTATACACACATTCATATAGATTTTTTCACTATGACACTAGATCTTTGAAAGAATTTGAAAGGTACAGAGTATTACAAAGAGGAAAAATGTAAAAAAACCCCAAAGTCTACCACAAAGTAGTCACGTTGTCATATATGGAGTTTTTTCCTCTTTTAATCTTTTCTTCTATGTTAATACATGAATATTCACAGCATTTTTTTGTTTTAAAGAAGTTCATGAGATACTTTCAGTTTTTTCTCTAACAATGAAAAAATATAACAAGTAACTAAAAAGTTTTCTGGAGCTATCAGCTGAAGTGAAAGGGCAGTCTAGTATCCTGAACAGAAAGAGGAAGAAGGAGGAGAATAAGGATGGATGAAAGGAGGAGATCTGGGAGGAAACAAAGTACCCAAGTTCTGAGGAGCAATTTCATGTACTAGAGCCAAGAGCACTGGAAGAGCAGGGAGGAAGAAATAGCTGAAGAGATAATGGCTGAGAATATGCTAAAAATAATGATAGGCATCAAGCCAGGGATTTAATATTTTGAGAGTCCCAATCCAGATAAACATAACAAGCAAAGTATGTAAAGACATCAAACTGGTGAAAGGGAAAAGTGAAAAGAAGGCATTCAGAGAAACATTACCTGCAGACATAATCATGTATAAATTATAGAGTGACTCCCTTAAAGTACTTAAAGAATACAAAACTCTAGGTAGAACTCCATAGACAGGAAAATAATTTTGAAAAATTAAGGGAAAGTAAAAAAAACTTGTAGCCAAACAAAATTTGAGTTTGGTAAGAGTGTAATGCTTTCTGCCACATATTAAATGTTATTTGCTGCTGCTAGTATTTTATTATTTTATTTATTATTTTTATTTATTTATTATTTTATTTATTTTATTATTTATTATTATTATTATTATTTTTATTTATTTATTATTTTATTTATTTTATTATTTATTATTATTATTATTATTTTTATTTATTTATTATTTTATTTATATTGCTACATGCAGCGATGTCATCTAGTTTGCCAGAATCTACCTGGTGTAACTGACTTGACATTCTTTTTCAGCTCTACTGAAGTTGATGACATGATTCGTAAATCTACAAACCTGTTGCTTACTAGGACCCTAAGCAACTGTCTGCAAAATGTCATTAAAAGGAAGAACATTGGGCTTACTGAGGTAAGGCTGCTGTTAATGATGGTAGTCAAGCCCATATTGAACAGGTGTCCTTAGCTGCGGGTATTATGGGTGAATTAATTGTAACTTTTTACATGACCTATCATGTTCTTTCTAAAATCTGTTGTTTTTTTGTCACTTTTGAAAAATTCCTTATTTTTTCTAAGAAGTCACTTTTTTCTCCCTCTTATATTGTTTTTGTATGATTAACTGTTTTCCTTTTTTATATTTTTGGAGTGAATTCATATCGCTTGCTATTAATCATATAAAAAATTTTTGATTGCAGAATATCTTCAACATCCAATTGATATCTGAATAAATGGTCATCCATTTATCAAAAAGAATATGAAATACATTTTGCTTGCATCAATTATTGATGTTAACAATGCTGGCACTCATAATCCTTGGTTAATGTTAGACTCATGGTTTGTTTCTCTGTTATCTCTTGTATACAAATGGTGAATTTCTCTATCAGCATGTAATCTGCTTGGCAAAAAGACTGGGGTTTGTGATGTGGAAACATGAGAAAATGGCAATAGTTTATACAATCTAATAAAAGAAGATTTGAAATTGTACTTATGTTGGAATAGTATCTTGGCAAACTGAAAAACTGGCCTATTGATGTGTAGTCCTAAAATTTTCAAAGATGTGACATTTCCTTTCTTTTGGAAACCCAAGATTGTATGGTAACCTCAATCTGTCACTCACCGAGGTTATACAGCCAAAAGTGAGAACTTAGAGGAATTTTTTTTTCCACAGAAAAAAGGAAAGGCTGTTAGCCATCTGGTTTACCTATAGGAGTGATGTAGTTTTAATGTCAGTTGTTTTAGGAAAAATTGACATTTAAAAATATATACTGTTAAGGATTATGGTAAAATTCAGCAAATGCTGAGTGATACTGCCTTATAGTTAAAGACAGCTGGAAACCAGGTGAGCATGTACTTCTGATTTTGGAGTACCATTTTCTTTTCTGCATTAATATTACAAAATATATTATAAGGTAGGGCATTGGCGGTGACTAAGTGCTCCTTATAACAAGCATTTTTTAAAAATTAAAAGTTATCCTAGGCATACATGATTTAGGATACTACTCTAAATTTTACAGTTTCTGTCATAGATAGAAAAACATTAGGCATTGCTTTTATGTATTTGGAAATGGGGCCACTTTTTGAAATTAGGAAGTCTATAAAAAAAGTGGGAGTGAAAATTAGGAAATCCTCCTGCTTTTATTAGAATATATTGTTTTCCTTTTCTGACTCCCAACTGGGACAGAAAGTTTGCTTGTTATTTATTCATTCATTCATTCTGCTAAGGATTGAGGTACTGGAGCTTTCAAATGTGAGGCAAGGCCTCTATAATGGAGCTACATGCCCAGCCCTATCAAACTTGATATATATGTTTTTATGCTATTCAATTTAGCAGTCTGTTACAAACCAATTTAGAACAAGAAGACTTGCAGGGACATGATCTGATAGAAACAGCTGTGACTTCAGAAGATTCTTGCATTTAGTTGTGGCTATGCCAGTTGTTTACTGTGACAGTTTAAGAGAAAGGCCAAATTTCTTGGGTTGAGCATTCCTCTCTATTAATGTCTTTTGCAAAGGTACTATACAAATCCAGAAATAATAGGAAAAATCAAGGGGAGCTTATCAGGAAATCATATAATAACTCATGGCACTCTTCCATTGCTGTTCTAAGTCGTTGAGTGGTTTTTACAGGTGTAATGTCCTCATCAGTATCTTTGCTTATGAATGAAGGGACATTCATACATATTAGGTTCTTTTGGCTGTTATGGTGTGTACATGTATAGACACATCATATAAAATGCTTTTTTCCTTACTAACCAGAAAATCTTTGAATAGCTATATTATTCACCTCTAGAAAGAGAAAACATTATATTCTTTATAAGTACCTAAAGGGTGTTCACATCTGGAAGCATCATCATAATTGGTAACATTTGTGGAGCAGTTTATATTCTTCAAAGCCTACTCACAAATACAATTTCATTTCATACAGTAACATTTGAAGTGGCATGGCATGTGTTATTATTCCCATTTTATAGAATGCATAATTAAAGTTCAGGGAGATTGCCCAAGGTCATCCAGCTAGCAAAAGTAGAAATGGGACTTAAGTCTGGGTTTTTTTCCCACATCTTTTCATTTTTACTGTATTGCACTGCCTTTCATATTGATTTAATTATTTCATCCTAACCAAGATAGAGATTTTACAGGAGGTCCATGGTAACATGGAAATTATTTGGGTTAGAAATGACTTTATGTCAGAGAGCTGAAATCCATTCAAACAATGGGATTATTATAAGTATACAGCACTCATAGAATCCTGCTTCAGGATGTCAGATAATTATCTTAGGATTTAACTGTTTCCATAAACTAATGTCTGTCTCCCTATTTTGGTTTGGGGTCACATGCTATCTTCTTCCTCTCTTTATTGATATGCTCTTCTGTTTTTTTCTCTGTACACTGGCTTTTTTTTTCTTCATGGTTTCTTTGCTTTCCTATGTTGACCAAATTCAACACCTGTAGAAATAGCACCTATAAAACTTGTTCTTTCAAACTTTATGTGATTTTTCTAGTTCATTCAGCAAGACTAGCTAATTCTTTTGGAGCTGCTTCCTTCAAGTTTGTACAAAGAGCAATTGTTTACTATTTGAAATTATTGTGTCGTAACAGACTGTCTTCTTCAGGTCTGTGCAGGGAACAGCTGAGTTCTTTTTGAGGGTATATATTTTTATGCAGACTGAGTTCCAATACAAGTCCTCCCCTGAACAATTTCTTGGGCAAATTACTTGGCTTTTTTTGTAATATGAGGACAATAGAGGCATGTATTTCTTAGGATTGTTGTTAGGATTAACTGAGCATTTTATGTACTTTGAAGAGTGTCTGAACCATAGTAAATACATACTTATTGTTACTATAATGGGGATTGGGCAGGCAAACATTGTTTAGAACAAAAATTGAAAGTATAATTAAAAGAAATCAAAATATTAGAATAAGATATCCAATTGATATAAGATAAATCAGTCAATATCACTCAATGTAGCATTAGGTATATGTTATATGTGTATTTTATTTATATTATTATTTTCTACTTATTTAGAATATATTTTCTATTTCTTTGGCATAACATTTTCATCTTAGTTTTAAAATGATAAAAGATAGTAAATATGAATAACTTTAAGGACACCCACTGAGTAGTTTAAAATAAGCTTTAAAATCAAATTTGAAACAAGCTTTAAAATAAGATTTACAATTTAAAAGGCCTTGGGGGAAAAATAGAAAAATAGAAGAATAGGAAAGATTAGAAGCAATGCTGGAGGAAAATGGAAGATTATGTGAACTTTGGGAAACTGGTGAAGGAGATAATAGAAAGAGAGAAAATGAATAAATAAAAATAAGAACAAAAGAACAACACCAAAATATAAGCAATGCTCACACTCATAAAAAATCTACAAAAAATGAACAAACAAGAAAAACAAAAAAGAAAATGTAAAGAAGATGAACAAATATCCACTTCAGGACATGTCTCTGCCATCACTGGTAGAGTTCACACTGGTAGATAGAGTGGGCAGACAAAGCCCAGATCTGTGGTGATTAATCCCAACAAGCCAGTAGTAGATTTGTTCCTGGGTAGTGGACAATCCCAGGAAATCTGCACTGTTAGTTTGACCAAAGTTCAGGTTGGTTTATGGCTGTGAGGCTGGAACCCGATTTGTTGAGCCTGCACTACTCTGTGTGCCTCCTACCAGCTTTAACTCAAGTCTTTGATGTCCTGCTTACTTGAACTCAGTTCTGCCTGACCCTGACACTGGAAGCCACTAGTTGGAGCCAACCTGCAGCTGCTCTGAGTTCTCAGCTCACTTGTCCCCTCTCCAGGATAACAACTGGCCAATCATCATCTCCTGGGGCCATAGGAATGCAAATAACTTACCAGCCACTGCAGCCCACTATGTCCACTGTTCCATTCCACTGGTGCTTTTCTCCATGGAGGCCTCTGGGGTCTTCTATAATCCTAATGTGTCTGTAAGTTTGAGCCACCCCTCTCATGTATCAAGCCAGGGCTCAGGGAGGAAGCACTGCTTTCTACCTCCTTCTTTTTGAGATTTTTCTCTTTGATCTCCCAGTGGGCTTTAGTTCTCACTTCAGATTCTTGCTGGATCCCGGGGACCTTCTTCCCTTGTCTTCCTCATATTACTGCATTCCAGTGTCTGGACACAAAATCTTGGAGAAGCTCTTTCTCTGCTATTTACCACTCTGTCATCCTCCTGGAGATCTCTAGCCCTTATGGTTAACAGCAGTGATACTGCTCATATTATGTTAAGAAATTTTATACCTAAGTCTTGAGAAGTAGAAATTGTATATCAGACCTTGGAATTCAGAACAAGTAGTTCCATGTATTTTAGTATTTTAATCTTGGAGATGTTACAAAATTGATAGTTGATAAAGCTTTCTGTACCATGACCGGAGTAGAAAAGAGATAAAATACCTTGCAGTCTTAAAGACAACTCATTTTCGTAAAACAGAACAAATGCCATCATTTAGTTCTTTGCTTTCAGGCAAGTCCAATAGTTTGGAGTCATTAGTAGTATGTGAGCTGTTATTTGTTTACTTCAGGTTAATCTTTTCAGAATTTAATGTACTGAATTCTCTGTTTTGAAAGTAAGTTAACAGCATTTCTAATATAGGCAGATAAAATGTATTGTAGAATTAATTTATAGTTGGGAATATAAACCTCTTAAGGTTTAGAGTTTAATTCTAAACTACTGGAAATGATTCAGACATTTTGTTTTCTGGAATTTGTCAAGAATAGAACATCTGTCATCATGGCTTCATTTTCTCTGCAGTGTTTGGAGCAGGACTGGAGAAGTGCTCTTCACACTGTACTCAGTGACTTTCTCAGTAGATTATCTCTGGTATCAAGAAGGGGAGAAGACTAATAAATTTTCTAATTCCTAATGGTTTTTAACCTAAGTGGCTTCAGTCATTTACTTGTGAGACATGACTGTTTGCCTTCTAAAATTCTCTTTTTCCAGACAGTTCTCATGCAATTTTGTGTGAGAGATAAGTAATATCTATTCTGTTCTTCTATGTCCTTGAAACTATATTAAGTACAACCTGGACTGGCAACTGGGGGTTAAAATATTATCAGAGAGGCTCAAACTATGATGGTTGATATCTGAATTTCCTTCACTTCATCCTTAAGTTCAGAACTACCCCCAAAGCATCTAGTTTTACATTGGTAAATGTCCTTGTAAGGATTTTGGTAGCTGTCATTGACAAGTAGAGATCACTTTGCCCTCATTAACAGACAATATTCCCTCTGAAAATGACATGGTATCTGCTGTAATCCTGCAGTGTTTAAATAGTCTATTCTATGCTCAGCAATGAAACATTTCAAAAGTGACTGACAGCCAATTGATGTAATTCATGGTGATCTTTTGTGTTGACAGATCTTTAAAAAGTCATGGGAAATTACTACTCTACCCAGTGAAACCGCCTCCTTTTTTTTTCTCTTTAGCTGCCAATATCCTAAAAAACAGGACAATTTTCTCTTTGACTGCCTCTGTTTTTTATTTCACTAACATGACATGATTCCTCCTTATCATTAGAATTTCTTTTGATAGACATAATGTGTTCCCTATAGGTGATGCTGATTTTAAAATAGAAATTCTCCAGTTCTCCAAATCAACTCTCTTACTTTTCTGACTTCAACATCAAGGCATCCTTGTAGCCACTTTCCTACTCAGAAGAAGAGTGATTTAATTTAGGCAGTTTAAATATTTAAAAATTATTTTAGTTGTCTCCTGAAAGAGAAACAGAATGAAAGGAAGAAGGTGATAAATTGTTTATTTTGGTGGATTTTTTTCTCCATAAGGTGCTCAAAAATTAAAAAGCTAATGTTTTCAATAATTTTATAGAAGACTGTAGTAGTCTTATGTCCGAAGCCCAGAATCTCTGGGTTCATACTTTGGATGGATGGAAAGGCATTGCTCATGCATATGAACTTGTCTGATAAGATCTGGAAAATAATGTAAGGATCTAGCCCCACTGTTTCCCTAACTTCCTGAATAAGAGAATTTCCTGCTACTTCACCTCCGTGTCTTTATTCTTTATCACTGTGTTTTGAATGTAGCTGTTTCCCTAAGATCTTCCTTCAGGCTGATCCCTTTTGATTGTGTTTAGGTTATGGGATTAATAGAAAATCACTTCATTTTTATTTCAGTTATGGTAAAATAGATGTAATGTTTATGCCCATTTTATCTGCTTCTCCAGGTTTATGGGAAGATAGCATAAGAAAATGAGTTTTAAATTTCTTAACAAACTTCAATTTTATATAGACCAAAAAATCATTTTTCTACATTGTCATCTCCAGCTAATGTCCTTTTTTTGTGTGTGTGCTGAGGTTTGAACACAGGACCTAGCAAATGCTAAGCACATACTCTTTCATTGGCCTCCAATATTGTTTTTTTTTTTAGGATCTCTTTTACAAGAAAAGAAAAATAATATTAACAACAGAATATTAGACTTTCACAATTCTCAGTTAGCAGTTATTATTAACCTTTTACAGATAAGGAATTTGGCTCAGGAAAGTTTTGAAGCTTTCTCAAAACCAATAATTTGTTAATCCCTTATTTTTTCTGACTTCAATGCCCATTTTCTTTCCTCTTACCAATATAGTTTGTTAATATACTGCAGTTTCTCCTAATATCTCTCTCTCTATCATGCCTAAATTTGAAACTTTCTATTGCTATTTCTGTTATTCTTGTTATTTAATACATCTACCAATTATGTATTGGCAGGCACTATGCTAAAGAGGATTTGCATTTGTTCTTCATGTAGTTTTTTAAAAAACAGAACAAAACATGTGTTTAAATAGAGTGAAAAGTAATGCTATATAAGGAGAAATACAAAATGTTTTGTGAGGTCAGGGAAGTCTTCTTGGAGAAAGCAGTAAGCCAGTGTCTTAACATATACTTTGCAGAATGTGAATGGCTCTGCTCTTACACCTTTTTTGTCTTGTACTAACAGATTCATATTGATTATTCATTCTGGGGAAAATAGTCAAATGATTTTTATATGTGCTTATTATTTTTTAGCTTGTTCAGATTATTATCAATACAACACATTTGGAGAAATCCTGTAAGTATTTGGAAGAATTCATCACCAATATCACTAATGTGCTTCCAGAAACAGTCCATACCACTAAGCTCTATGGCACCACAACTTTTAAGGTAAGATGCCATATTGTACAATGGAAATGCTTTGAGTGCAGTACATAGTTTGAGCAGTCTACTGTCATGACTTTGTTTCTTCAGGATAATTTATAATTGGTTTTGAATATAGGTATTTGTTAAGGGTTTTATTTTCTTAGAAAAACAAATGCCAATAGCAATTTTTGGTGTTTAAGTTAGAAAACTCAAAATATGTAACTATGTCCTGTAAACTAACTTTCTTTCTTTCTTTCTTTCTTTCTTTCTTTCTTTCTTTCTTTCTTTCTTTCTTTCTCTGTCCCTCTGTCTCTGTCTCTGTCTCTGTCTCTGTCTCTGTCTCTCTCTCTCTCTCTTTCTATTTTTGAAACAGGGTCTTATTACATCATTCAGGCTGGCCTTGAATTCACTTTATAATCTAGGCTGGTTTTGAACTTGCAGTGATCCTCCTGACTCAGCCTCCCAATTGGTGGGATTACAGACCCTGTCTAGACTCTTTTTTGTATGTTGTGCAAGAAAATAACAGTTCTCTAAATTGATGCCTCCACATTCAAGAGTCTGAATGTGTGGCCTAAGTATTCACTGATGGCTGACATCAATATCAGTTCAAATTTTCTACTCAAGTACTTCTTCTCTGTGTCTAAATTCTAAAATCTTAGCTTTTAATGAGAAATTCCCATCCCGTGCTATTATACTTAGCAATTTTATAAGGCCAAAGTACTAATTTTGATTTAGTGTTAGATCAAATGAACAAAATGATACTCTTTTAGAATAAAACATAGATTAATGGTAGACTTTCTGGAGGGTAAATATCTTAACTTTGCCTTCATAAACTCCTGAATATTGCCAGATGAGCTTTAAATTGCTATTAAGCAGAAAAGTATCTTAAACACTAAAAGGATGTTTTCTAATATAAAAACTAACCTATGAGGTTTGAGGTTTTATTATTGTTGTTAATCGATTGGTTTAGTTTTGAAACATCAACTGTGTCATCCTTTTGAAGCCCAGAAACTGCTGTTAACTAGATACAGTTAGAGTTATAGCCGTCATTTATGTCCCCTAATGTCTATTTTTTCACTCTTTATATATTGTTTCTCTATTTGTTAGTGCCTTTACTTGAGAGCAGATACAAGTGTACAAATCAAATTTGCTTTATTCTGTTATTACATTATAGGAGAAATTAAAACTCTTGGTAAGACAATATTTTTCTGGTATAAAAATGTGCATTGTTGAGCTATACATATGCTTTGTGTACCTTTGTATACATGTGTAGATTAGCTACTAGATGGAGTTACCTGTTCATTAGGTGACTGGGGATTGTTTCAAATAGCCAATAAAATTTCTTAAAATTTGTTATGCATCGTATTATGTCCTTGTCATTCTTTTTAAAATTTTCAATAATGTCTAATTACAGCCATCCCTTAGTATCTATGGAAGATTTGTTCCAGAACCTCCCATGGGTACAAAAATTTGCTGATGTTCAAGTCCTTTGTATAAAATGGTTGTAGTATTTTGTTTGAATATTTTCTTGCATCTTTAAATCATCTCAACATTATCTATAAATACCTATGCATTGTAAATGCTCTGTAACTGCTATAATGCATTCTTTAGGGATGAATGACACGGGAAAAATCTCTACAAATTCAGCACATACACATTTTTTTTCCCCTAACATTTTCAGTCTTTGTTTCGTTGAATCCACGGATTAGGATCCTACAGATACAGAATATTATTGCCCTTTCTAATGAGAAAAGAGTTCCTGAGATTCATACAAAAATATGAAAACAGCATTAAGAACAGACTTAGAGCCAGGCATGGTGGTGCACACCTTTAATCCCAGCACTTGGGAGGCTGAAACAGGAGGCTCATTGCGAGTTCAAGGCCAACCTGGGCTACAAGGTATACTCCAGGCCAGCCTGAACTGCATAGAGAGACCTTTTCTCAAAAAGACAAAAAAAAAAAAAAAAAAAAGAGAGAGAGAGAAAAGAATGGCCTTAATCTATTAAGAATTATAATTACTCTTGAATAGTAGCGTTATTATGGAGCATGGGTAATAATTTTTTCCAAAAATGTTTTTATTTACTGTGAAAGCCAGAATTGCTCTAGGAAAAAAATGTTAAAGGGGTAGTAATTCACTAAGTAGAATAGGGAGGTATGGCATTAGAAGGTTAGGTTCATTATACTTACCTACTATCTGGGATATATGTTGTATTTACTGATACTCTTTCCCAAACATGTTTCAGATTTTTCCAGTTTAGTATCTTTCAAATTATGTTTAGAAATCCTCTCAGAAGATGGCTTATGTGTTTTGTTGCTGTTCCAAAATTTAAAGTGCTAACTGAAAATGTAAGCTAGACAGGATGCCATAGGGATTGAATAGCTAGTTAAAGGCTTAAAAATGGAGTTCTGAGAACTACTAAAGGTCCTCTTTACAGTGCTTATTGTAAACACTCATTGATTAAAACACAATGAAAGTTTATTTTTACCATGGCGTTTCAGACTAGCTAACCCAGAACTCAATATAAACATGGCAATTATAACAGCTACATGTTGTATATTTTCTTAAGCTACTGTTTCTAGAAAACTTTCACTCACAGATGGAAATCTTTATGCTGGAAAAGGGTCAAAAAAATAAGGTCATCCAGGTATTTTCTTGCAGAGTTCCCTCTTGCTATTTCCATATGCGACATAATCAAGCTGACATTTTTAAGCTTTTCTTATTCATAAACTTTGCCTTACTTTGTTGCAAAAGAGAATGATGATGTTTATTAATTTATTCTCTTAGACATATTGCTTTCATATCTATGATATGACAATCTACTCTTAAACTTTATGATCTATAGAGAAGTAAACCAACTGTAAGTTCTATAAAGAATTATGCAATAAGTAGTAGAATAATATATCAAATGGATTTACTGTCTCATCAGGTTTTTATAATACATCTGCTACATACCTGGCAATGTTATAGGAATTAACAAAGTAAGTGAGTCTCCTGACTTTACTGACCTTATATCCTGATGATTTGATACATAATAAACCAACATCTAATATAATGTCAGCTCATGATAAGAACATGGGAAAAACTGACCCAAATAACATAAAAAACCCTGAGTCATCTGGATTTTCACTAGATGTATTTTCCAGCCAAATGGAATGGTACAGTGGAAAAAATAGCAAAGGGTTATTCTAGCAGTGATGTTTCTCTGCATAATGGTACTACACACTGAAATGGGAAACATTTATTATGCTTTAAGGGATAGTAGGTTTAGGGAATGGAGGTACAATTAAGACTTTGATTTTTGGCATATTCAGCTTGAGATATTTGTTATCTGTCACTGATACACATAGTAAGAGACAAGATAGTAAATCTATACCATGAAAAGAATATACCATAGGGCCAGGAATGTAGCTCAGCAGCACAGTGCCTACCTGGCAGGTGTGAGGCCCTGAGTTCAATTCCCAGTACCAAACAAAAAAGCAAAACAAAACAAAACAAAATAATAACAACAATATCCCAGAAACAAACCAGTAAGAGTGGAAGAAGAAAGTTCAATTTGGAGGCCATTGTAGCAGTCCAACTACAAGATAATGATCACTTGTACTAAAGTGGTAGAGTTTGAAGTGGTAAACATTTTTAAAGGTAGAGATGGTAGGGCTTACTGGTGAATTGCATATGAAGTTTCAAAAGAAAGAGAGGAATCAAAGGTAATTCCAAGACTGTTTGACTGAGCAAACTAATTGAACGATGGTTCTATTCACTGAGATTTGGAACATTTGTTATTCTTTAGGAGAAGAGTAGATTTAGGAAATTGAGGTAGAATTAAGACTTTCATTTTTGATATATTAAGTTTGAGGTATTTATTTATCATCTGCATAGATGTGTTAATTAGGTACAGTAAAATCATAGTGGTAGGAAAACATTTAGAATTCATCATTGTAGAGATATATTCAATGTAGGATTTGCTTTCTTCTAGGAATTGAGTATAAGTAGAGAAAAAGATTGAGGCCTATAGGACTTTAACAATGATAGATTTAGAAAAGAATAACATAATTACAGGAACAGAAGAAAGAAAGAAATAATAAACAACCCACAATTAATCATTTTTAGAATGACAAGGTATTAAGTACCTAGAATATTTTGTATAACTGTTACAATAAATTTGAGATCTATAGGAAAATGTATTCTAAAAAGTGATTTGAAAAGATATAGAAACTCTAAATTGACTAATATCCATGTAAGAAATGAAAACATTGTCAAAGACTTTAAAAGTGTATGAGGTGTAGATTATTTTAGGACCTTAAAAAACAAATAATTACTACTCTAAATTATAGAGGAAGAAGAAAAGTATCTCAATTCTCTTTTACTATAATCAGCATACATAATTCAGAATACAGAGAAACCACAAAAATGTAAAAAATTAAAGGTAAATACTGATGTAAAAGTCATAAATAAAAAATCAAAGAAAAATTCAAAAATGTAGCATTAAAGACAGGGATGCAAAGATGATTAATATTTTAAAAATACTTAAAGCTGTTCACTGCTTTAAAAGATCAAAAGAAAAACAAATAAATATTTTGAAAGATACTAAGAGGATACTGTGTTTTTATGTAAACATCTATAGATCCCGAGAAAATATAGGATTAAGAAAATTTCACAAGAGAAATTAAAAAAAAATACTTTCCTCTAAGTGAAAATAAAAATAAAACTCATCAAAACTTTTGAGATGGAATGAAAGTATTATTTAGAGGGAAATTTACAGCATTAATAACATATACTAGAAAAGAAGACAGTTAAATTCAATAACCCTAGCTTCCACTTTGAATAAACAGGAAAAAGAAGAACGATTAAATCCAATGAGCAAAAGGATAGAAATAATAAAAATAATAGTATAAATCAAATGAAAATGAAAATAAAAGCACAATATTGAAAATCACCAAAATCAAAAGCTGATTCTGTGGGAAAAAAAATAGACTTTGAGCTAAGGTAACAAAGGTAAAATGAGAACAGACACTAATTGCTAATA